GACCGCGCTCCTGGCTGGCGAGAAGCTGCGGGAGCTGATCCTGCCGGGCGCGCAGGACGACAAGGCGGGCGCGCTGGCCGCGCTGCTGCTGCAGCTCAAGCTGGAACTACCGTTCGACCGCGTGGTCACCATCGGCACCGTGCTCGTGCCCATCCTGCTGGTCACCCTGGTCTTCACCAAGAACTTCGCAGGTGAGGCAGCGCGGGAGGCGGCGCGTCGGCAAGTGTCCGGCGCTGGGTGCTCCCAGCGCCCCCGCACGCCCCGGCGCTCACTCCAGCCAGGCCGCACCCACCTTGCCCGGCACTGTCCAGGGCTGTCCTGAGACCCTCTCTGTTTTATTGCTGCTTTACCTTGCATTTCTTCAGCTTAAAGCCCCCGGAGGACTAGGCCTGCCCTTCACTTGCTGGGCTCGGATGTAAAAGGGACGTGGGGTCTGGGCTGTAAAACGTCACAGCGGGTCTGAGATGTTGAAGTGTCCATGTGAACACCAGAAAAGGATCTTATAGGTGTTGAGGGCAGACAGCCCTGGGAAGGGATGGTGGAGACCCCAACTGCTGGGGGGGGGGGGTCTGTGGAGCCCTGTTCCTGGCCAGGAGGGTAGAGGAACCCGGGTCTCTCAGGACAGGCCCAGAGAGCCTCTGTAGGTCTGCAGCAGAGGAGGCCAGGCAAGGTGCACCACGGAGGCAACATCAGGCTGGTCCAAGTGATGGTCCACTTCGGTGGCACCTGCAAAAGCTGTTTACGAATAGTGTGCAGACATGTGGCTAGGGGGTCAGCTCCATGACGGACAAGCCTCCTAGGACAGACGCAGATTCAGGTGCACACGTGGACTTGGCCTCTCTGGTGCCCTCTGCATGGGGCTCCATGTTCTGACACTGCTAAGCCCAGGTCCCCATCTCTGGGGGCATCAGCACACCCCTATATCCAGCTGGGCCTGAGGCTGACAGGCTCCAAGTGCATCCCTGACCCCAGGGCCTGCCCCTTCAGACCCTCTGCATTTGCACACAGACACACCTGGGGACCACATGCCCTGGCCCTCTCCCCACTGCCATTCGGGGCCCACTGCAGTGTCAGGAGGGGTCCCAGTGCCTCTCCAGCACAGACAGGTAGGGTTCTGAGCAGCAGAATGTGCCCGGCCTGCGAGGTCACTCCAAGGGATGGGCCTGGGAGGGCTCTCTGAACTGCTAGTGAAGGAGGCCCGTGAACCCATGTCTTCAACCACAGAGCACTGGCTGCTTCTCCTGCTGGCTTTGATCAGGGTCTCACTGAACCTGAAACCATCCAGGGTCCCCAGACACATGCTAACTCCTGGGGTGAGGTGACCCCGGACAAAAGGGAAATTGTGGTGCCACCCAGGTGGGAACCACATGCGACCTGGGTGGACTTGGGGGGCCCCTGCCCACTCATGGGAACTCCTGGGCTAGGTGGGGTGGAGGGTGTGGTCAGAAGCTCTGGCCTCTCTGGAGACCCCCCACTTTCTGCTCTGGACAAGAGCACCAGGAGCCTGTGCCAGGGTTCTGAGATGCGACTGCCCTGAGAGGCGGTGTGTCTGCCTGTCTGCCAGGACCTGAGCCTGAGGAGCAGGCACAGGGCCACCAGGGTGAGCACCTGAGGCTCCCTCAGCCCTACTGGCTGGGCGTCTCAGTGGGTGGGCATCAACCCTTCTGGCTGAGGCAAGATGCTGAGACCCATGTCCTGTGTCCCTGGTCTGTGCACCAGGGACACAGAGTAGGCCTGTGCCATGACCTGTAGAGGTGCCGTGGAGACAGGGCCTAGTGTGGCAGCACATGGCCAGTGCTCATCAGCCTGGCCCCATCCCAGTGCCAGGGCCTGGCATGCCCTCCTGGGGGGTCCTGGCCCTCGGTGCAACCCGCTCTGCTGTGTTAGGACAAGCCCTCCCTTGCAACACAGCTGCTTACCACTGGGCAGAACTCAAGGTAGAGGTGGAGTTTGGAAGACCCCACGCCCCTGCCTGAAGACCAGCTGGTGGTGGGCCAGGGCTGCCATGAAATTCCACTCTCCTCGCTCCGTCCCCTCCCCTGGACTCTCTGCTGGGGATGGTATAGAGTGGGGGATCAGGTGGGCAGAGCCCAGACACACTGAAAGGGGAGAGGCCAAGAGTCACCAGATTCCTCAGATGCTGCTGAGACCCTGAGGGGGGGCCACCTGCTTTCCCAAGTGTGCAGTGTCCTCAGTGTGTCCTGGGTGAGCCGTCCAGCCCACCCCAGCGGTGTTTCTTCTCAGCCCAAGGCACCAGGGATCTGCCTGGATCTAGGTGTAGGCTGCCCAGGGCCTGCACCGGGCAGCTGGGGCCTCTCTGCCTCAGGGTCCCAGGAGGGCTGGGTCTCCAGGGTAAGCACCCACTTACCCACTCTTTTCCGCCACCTCTGAGGGTGAGCCCTCTCCTCCCCAGCGGGACCCCCCTGACAGGCCCAGCATTCGGGGCCTTGTTTTTGTGGGGATCAGTTCTGGGCATTCACTCAGCTGTGGCAAGAAGGTGCTGGGTGGGCCGAGACTGGCTGGGACGTCGCCCGGCGGGGGGCACCTGCTGGATGTACAGGCCCTGGGTCCAACCACCAGGACTTAAAAAAACCACAACTGCCGCCTCAGAGTTCTGCAGTCGGGAATCTGAGTGAGGCGCAGGGGCTGCGGCTACGCCCGTGGGCACGGTCCTTCCAGAGCAGGTCTGCTCCTCCGCTTCCAGCTGCTAGATGCACTGTGTCCCCCTCTGTCCAGCCAGCAACACCTCCCTCTCTGGCACCCTTGCCGCTCCTCTAGCCCTCCCCAGCACCCTCCCCCGGGGACCTTAGGATCACACATCCCACCCAGATCCCTGTCACTCGGCCTGGGTGGTGGAGGTCTGGGAAGGACACTGTCAAGCGTGAGCCCGGGGACAGCTTCCAAGCAGTGGCCACCTGGGTGTGTGCTGACTTCCCTGGGGCTATGTCAGGCACTAGGCTCCCGGGCACTGCGCTGGGCCCCATGTCCCCAGGTGAGTTGGACAGGCTGGGCAGGTGCCTGGTTACCAAGCAAGCTTCTTGGGTGGGAATCCCAGTGTCCCCTCATCAGGGACAATGATGCCCGTGGCCAGGGCCCATAGAAGGCTATCCTGTAGGGAAAGGGCTGCCCAGAACTGCCTCTGTCTATGGGCTGGGCAGGCCTGTGTCTCCCCCAGACATCTCCCTGGCCCAGTGGGGGCCACAGGGCCCCTGGGAAATCCCAGGGGAGTCCCCTCGAGGGTCTGGCATCTGCGCCTCAGTCCCGCTGCCCCACTCAGTGTCAGGTCCGTGGTAGCCCCTGCTCTGCAGGACCACCTCACCCTGCTCTGCACACCTCGGTGAACTGCTGCACTGCAGGGAGCACAGGGTACCTCTGCAGGTGCAGGCCCCTTCCTGTGCCTTGTGAACCTTGGGGCAGGCCTCTCACCTGCATGGTCCTAGGGAGCAGATTAGGAAATGGGCAGAGTGGCAAGTGGGGCTTGTCTCCCTTACTGCCACCGCCCAGCAGACAGGGTGGCAGGCTCTCCACACTGTGCCCCAGAGGCACTGCACCAGCCACTCAGGGGTTGGGGGCCACCCCCATCCCAGAGCCTGTTTCCCTGTGGCCTCCCCACAGGGTGTCATTACAGGGTGGGTGCATGCCCCAGGGAGAAGAATATCCACCCCTCTACAGCTCCTGGGATTGGTGATAGGGACCAAAAGGGAATAAAATGATATTTTTTCAACCAAAAGAACTGATCCCTCTGCCTTTCCCTGTTTGCTTTTCTCTGAACTCAGCTCGGCTCTTGGTCTGGACACCTGTCCTCAGGGAACTCGGGCTGTGGGGACAGTCCAGGCTCCCATCTCATGAGGATGCGGTGCCAGCTGCTTCAAAGAACCCTGGCCCCCACCCCATCTCAGCAGGGCTCCCTCTGCCCAACCCACACCTCCCTAGAGCCCCCCAAGCTCCCCAGGACTGTCCCATAGAGTCTGTGGGCCCTGTCTTTGAAACCACCCTTGGTGGACCCACCTGGGTCCTTACTGTGTGGACTGGAAGACACACCCCTGGTGAGAATGGTGGCAACCACGGGATCTGCACTGGGTTCTGGAGGGCTGGAAGGGGGGCCTGCTGCTGAGTGGAGGCCAGGGCTGGAGGCACCTGCAAGACGTGGGGTCTCTGTGCCCAGATGTGTAGCCAGCCACTGCTCCCAGCCCCCGGGGTCCCTGAACAGCTGCAACAGTGGATGGTGGTCTTCCTAGAGAGAGCTGGGGTCTCTGAGTCTCCCTCTGGGTGCAACTCAAAGGCAGGGCACGCACAGGCTGCTGTGCGTGCAAGCCTTATAACATGGTGGTTCTGAGCTCACCTGCCCTGGTACCTGAGGGTGCCAGTCCCATTGTGCAGAAGAGGGTGGGAGGAGGCTGGAGCCCCACCTGAACGCACATTGGCTAGGGGCCCTCAGGCTCTGAGCCTCAAGGCTCCACTCCCAAGAAGCCTCAAAATCCAGAATCCCTGCATGGGCAGACCCGTGCTGTAGGCTGTACTGACATCAGGCAGACAGGCTCCTGGGGGGAAGGTGCCCTGCAGCAATGACCTTGGGACTGCAGTTACAGTGGCAGGTGTGAAGTCAGGTCCCTGGCCGGGTTTGGTGGCACCTACCTACCTATAATCTCCGCCACTCAGGAGACTGAGGCAAGAGAATCCATCCCAAATTCAAGGCCAGCCTCAGCAACTCAGTGAGACCTTGCATCAAAATTAAAGAGCTGAGGGTGTCTCTCAGGGGTCGAGTGCCCCTGGGTTCAGAACATACCTAGTACAAAACAAAAAGGGGATGAGTCCCTCCCTGGATGCTCAGGCCAGCAGCCAGGACCTGGGTTTCAGCTGAGCTGGTGTTGGAAGATGGCCAAGTGGTGTGGCCTGTCTTGTTCTCTTTGGGACTGTTTCCCCTTGTGCCCAGTCTCTGTGGCATTTAGAGACCAACATACATGTATAGGCCAGTTCCTGGGGCTGGCATGGGCAGGGCTTAACCCCTGGCTGACCACCTTGTGGGGGTATTCAGGATCAGATAGTGATCAGAAGATGGGGAGAAGCTAGTGGGGGCGGGTCCATTGGGGCACAGCATCCCTGCACAAAGCAAGTAGCTATGTGGGAAGGAGCCTAGTACTGAGGCCAGCAGCTGGTGCAGGAGTGGGCCCCCGCTGCCCTTTGCCCCAAGCCCTTGTCTCCACCAGGCCAGTCCCACCTCTGTCTCCTCTCTGCCCCCAGAGGAACCCATTTACTGTTACACCCCGCACAACTTCACTCGTGACCAGGCGCTGTACGCCCGCGGCTACTGCTGGACGGAGCTGCGGGACGCGCTGCCCGGTGTGGACGCCAGCCTGTGGCCTTCCCTGTTTGAGCACAAGTTCCTGCCCTACGCCCTGCTGGCCTTCGCCGCCATCATGTACGTGCCCGCGCTGGGCTGGGAGTTCCTCGCCTCCACTCGCCTCACCTCGGAGCTCAACTTCCTGCTGCAGGAGATTGACAACTGCTACCACCGGGCGGCGGAGGGCCGCGCGCCCAAGATCGAGAAGCAGATCCAGTCCAAGGGGCCCGGCATCACGGAGCGCGAGAAGCGCGAGATCATCGAGAACGCCGAGAAGGAGAAGAGCCCCGAGCAGAACCTGTTCGAGAAGTACCTGGAGCGCAGGGGCCGCAGCAACTTCCTGGCCAAGCTGTACCTAGCGCGGCACGTGCTCATCCTGCTGCTCAGCGTGGTGCCCATCTCCTACCTGTGCACCTACTACGCCACCCAGAAGCAGAACGAGTTCACCTGCGCGCTGGGCGCCTCCCCCGATGGGCCGGCGGGGGCCGGGGGCCCGGCGGTGCGCGTCAGCTGCAAGCTGCCCTCGGTGCAGCTGCAGCGGATCATCGCGGGCGTGGACATCGTGCTGCTCTGCTTCATGAACCTCATCATCCTCGTCAACCTCATCCACCTCTTCATCTTCCGCAAGAGCAACTTCATCTTCGACAAGCTGCACAAGGTGGGCATCAAGACTCGCCGCCAGTGGCGCCGCTCCCAGTTCTGCGACATCAACATCCTGGCCATGTTCTGCAACGAGAACCGCGACCACATCAAGTCGCTGAACCGGCTGGACTTCATCACCAACGAGAGCGACCTCATGTATGACAACGTGGTGCGGCAGCTGCTGGCCGCCCTGGCCCAGTCCAACCACGACGCCACGCCCACAGTGCGCGACTCCGGCATCCAGACGGTGGACCCCAGCGCCAACCCCGCCGAGCCCGACGGCTCTGCCGAGCCTCCAGTGGTCAAGCGGCCTCGAAAGAAGATGAAGTGGATCCCCACCAGCAACCCGCTGCCACAGCCCTTCAAGGAGCAGCTGGCCATCATGCGTGTGGAGAACAGCAAAGCCGACAAGCCCAAGCCGGTACGCAGGAAGACGGCCACCGACACGCTCATCGCCCCGCTGCTGGACGCCGGAGCTCGAGCTGCCCACCACTACAAGGGGGGCGGGGGTGACGCAGGCCCGGCCCCGCCCCCTGCCCCCGACAAGAAGCACGCCCGCCACTTCTCCCTGGATGTTCACCCCTACATCCTGGGCACCAAGAAGGCCAAGGCTGAGGCCGTGCCCGCTGCCCTGCCCGCTTCCCGGAGCCAGGAAGGCGGCTTTCTGTCCCAGGCAGAGGAGTGCGGGCTGGGCCTGGCAGAGGCACCCACCAAAGGTAGGGTACAGAGTACAGAGTGGTCTTGGGTGGGAGAAGGAGGGTGGACCCCCACAGAGCCCCGGACAGGAAGCCTAGGAGGGAAGCAGGTGCTGGGAGCCGGGCGAACAAGGCGAGGTTGCATAGGCTGGGTCTAAGGAGGGCACAGTTGTGTTAGCTGCAAGGGCAAGGCACAGGCCTCTCCGCAGCTCGGAGGACCTCCTGAGCCCCGAGAAGGCAGGCTGGGCTCAGGACTGAAGGCTGCTCTTCCCCAGTGGACTTCAGCTCCCCTGGCCAGAAAGGTGCTTCGGGCAGACGAAGGCACCATGTTCCTGGGGCAGGCTGCCTCTGCAGGCCTGGGGAGGAAGCTCAGGGAGGGGAGGGCCAGCCCCTCTGGGATGCTTTGGAGCCGGGAGCCTCTCCGCAGGCCCTGGAGGGCATGGGGAGGGGCACCGCAGCTGGTGGGACTAGAGAGTGAGGTGCCTGTACACCTGGCTGTTTGCAGATGCTCCACTCCCGGAGAAGGAGGCTCCCTACCCCACGGAGCCAGCTCTCGCAGGGCTTCCCTCTGGTGGCCCGTTTCATGTCTGCTCATCCCCAGCAGCCCCTGCCACGGGCCCTCTGTCACCAGCCAGCCTGGGCAAGGCTGACCCCCTTGCCATCCTGAGCCGAAACGCCACTCACCCCCTGCTCCACATCAACACCCTGTACGAGACTCGGGAGGAGGAGGAAGGGGGCCCCCATGTGCCCCCAGACATGGGCGACCTCATCACCATCCCCCCACCCCAGCAGATCCTCATCGCCACCTTCGACGAACCAAGAACAGTTGTGAGTACTGTGGAGTTCTGAGGGCACCGGACACCCACGCCAGTGAGAGCCCTCTGCATGAGCAAGGGATGTCCAGCCCCGAGTGGACATGGCCTCGCTCACCCAGTGCCGCCCACATCCCCAGTCTCCCATCGCATGCTGCGGGGCTCAGCACCCTCCCAGTGGGCCCGAGCTGGCACAGGTGCGTGGGCGGATGGGGCAGAAGGTGGGGTGCTGGGCTGCCAGATGAAGAGTTTATTTTTTTAGTCAGTTTTGCTGTGGACCAAGGCTGTGGCACGACTCGGTGCCCCCAGCCCAGATCCAACCCAGAGCCAGCCAGGAGGACACAGGGGAAGGAGGTGCCAGCTGCAGAGCCACTGCCCAGGCATCACCAGCCCAGGGCTGGCCCCTGCAGGGACCTGATGCCCTCAGGTGGGGGCCCGGGCCGCCCTGGGTCTGATCAACATGCACTTTCCTCAAAGCCTGACTTACAGTTTATTTTACTATGGCTACTGTAACTGACGAGCCTGTTGTCATCAGGAGACTTAGGGTGAGTTGAAAGCAGAGGGTGTGTGTGTGTGACAGTGTGAGCAGAGATGGTGTGAGCGTGGGTGCAGGTGCGGGTGAGTGAACCGAGTGAGTGTGTGGGCGAGGCTGAACAGGTGTGTCTGCAGGAGTGCCTGGTGCCTGTGAGCAGGAGGGCAGGGCAGGCGTCCAGGGAGGGACTCCTACGCAATAACCACGCCCCTCCTGGGCCCCAGCTGCCAGTGAGGCCCATGCGGCTTTCCAGGGGAGCCCAGGCCGCGGCTGGCCCCGTCCCTATTACCTCAGCCACCATGGCCGGTGACAGTATCAACAAGGTAGCACTGAGCATATCAATAAATATTATTCTGATAACCGCCTGTGCTGCTGCCGAGTCCGCCTCCCTGCCTCTGGCGCCATCTGCCCACCCCCCGGCACAGCCTGTCAGCATCATCATGGGGGCACCTGAAGGGCCCAGAGTGTGAGGAGGGGGAGCATGTGGAGGGCACTCCTGGAGGGTCGCCACTGGACTCGGCCCCTGGGCACAGGCACAAATCGGGGCTCCCACACTGAGGGAACCCCAGGGAAGACGTCCCTAGGTCAGATGCCTGGAAGCAGGGGGCCAGGCGGACTGCCAGAGGAACGGAGCTGCAGAACCCAGAACAGCTTCCAGGAGGAGGGGCGCTCATGTCAGGGGTCCCCTGCAGGGTTCCGTGGAACAAGGCTGGCCCCATGGAGCCACATTCCCTGCAGGTTGGACCTGTGGGCTCCTTGGAGGCAGGTGGCTGGGGCAGATGGGGCCAGAATCCATGGGCAGTGGGAGGTATCGGCCCCAGATTGCTGAGGTCAGAGGGCACCCACCTGCTCCCTGGCCAAGGCCTTCCGGAGGCTCTCCAACGGGTACCTCTCTGAATAGTCCTGGACACCAGTGTCCCCATGAGTCAGGATAGTCCACCCTCCAACTTCAGTGGCCAAGTATGCAGCCACCACATCCCAAGCCCAGGCATGAGGGGCATGAGGACCAGGCTAGAGTCCACATTCATTTAAAACACAGGTTTTATTCTCAGAATGCTTAAAATTTTTATTACTGTTCAGGTGTGGCGAGGTCAGCAGAACAGGAAACACCGGCCATTGAAAGACAGTCTCTTGTTAACAGACCCCAGAGGAGGGGGCTCCCCATTCCATGCAGGGCCACTCAGGGCAGCACCCGGGTCAGTACAGGCAGAGTGAGCAACGGGCAGCACCCCCACTGTGGCCTCCACAGGAAGGAGCAGGCAGGGCACGTAGCGGGCTTAGGATCAGCCAGTTTGAATACCTTCAGCAGGTGCTGGACACAGAGCTGTCCCTGGCTGCCCTGGAGTGACTGGGCAGGTGGGTGGTGGCCCCACATGGGCAAGCAGATAGAGGGGCACAGGTTGGGTGATTTGGACATGATGTCATTGGTCAGTCCCAGAATTAGCCAGCCCTAGGAGGGGCAGCCTGTCCAGGGCAGCTCAGCCCAGGTATGCAGAAAACAAAAGGTGTGGCTTATGCACCCTGTCCCCCGACCCGGACACCTCTCTTGGCCTGTCTCCAGGTGGCACTCAGCGTCTCACGTTCAGGGAAGTCACCCTGTGGCCTGGACAGCTGCCTCCAGGCTGCTGCTCCTGGATACCAGTTCCAGGCCCCTCGGCTCAGGCCCTCACTTCCCAGCACTTCTGCACAATGGCAAGCCGCACCTGGCAGCCAGGTGACCCCAGAAAGCTCACCTGATGCTGGCCTCATTCCTGTCCCCTCACCCTTGCATGCAGAGATGTCCCCGAGTTACCTGGGAGCCCACTGATTTGGGCAGTGCACATGAGTCCAGCTCCTGCACTTGCCTTGCTTCCTGGCTTGTGAAGGGAAATGTCACTGGCCACAGAGTGTCCAGGCAGGGGCTGTGCATACCAGCCCCTGAGCTCAAGCAGAACAGAGGTGGACACAGGAGCTCCTTGGAGTCTAATGGGACCAGGGCAAGGGCAGCTGTTTTGCCCACCGGTGCTCTGGGCCACAGCCTTGCAGGGCATTTCAGAGCCAGTCCTGTCTGGGAAGAGTTCTGTGTTGTAAACCCATGGCCCTTTGTGCGAGGCTGACCTTCTGCAAGGGGAGGTGGCCCCGGTCGGCATCCTGTAGAAGTAGCCACGGCACTGTGAGTGCTGGGGATGCTGCTGCCTGCCCCCCAGACCTGTCCTCTGGCTGTGTCCCAGTGGGCCACCCCATCTTCCCAAAATCAGATGGCCAGAGTCCTAAAGGAAAGGGTCCTGTTGGCCCCTTGGGGTCAGGAAAGACTGAGTCCAGCCTTTCCTCCAGCACTTCCTCCTCTTGCCTGTGACCAGGTTCCTACTTCCATCTGGTTGGGATGATTGATCCTGCTCCACTTCAGACCAAACTCCTCTGCGTGTGCCTCTGGTTGGGGACCCAGGAGGGCCTTCCCTCCCCCAGACTAGCAAATAGATTCAAGCCAAGCTCATTTCTCTTCTTAAGGGCCCAAGGGCCCCTCTGGTTTGGTACAAGCCCTGGTCACTGCTCCTAGGGCCATGTGGACCCCTCTTCCTCAGTCTCCTCCGAAGACCCTCCACAGCTCACCTCAAGAAGCCCCCCTCTGGATGCTTGGATGAACAGAGGGAGCTTCCGCGGACAGCCACCCAGGCTGAGGGCCCACAGTGTCAGGACAGACCCACCCCCAGCAGCATGCTCAGAAAGGCTGTGACAACACCAAAGCTGGCTGTTCTCCAAGCACAGCCGGAGACGCAGAAAGGCCCAGGCCCTGCCAGCATGGACTCCCGCTCTGCTCTCCTGCTTCTGGCCTCTCAGCCATGCACAGTATGGACTGAGCACAGGCCTCTGCGGGTCATCAGAGGGCAGTGCTAATTCCCACCACCCACCAGGGGCTAGGGTTTCAGGCACCTTCCTCTCCCCACAGGCCACCCTGTGGCTGCCAAGGGGTCAGCACTGCCTTCCCCTCTTTGGTCCCCTTCCCTCCAGTCCTGAGCAGAGACAGCAGGGCAGAGGGTGCACATTTCCTCCTACTGAAGAGGACGTGTTCTGGGAGAACCCCAAACCCATCCAGATAGCCAGGCCTGAGTCCCAAGCCTCTTCCCACCAAGCACGCCTAGAGCTGGGAATTTCAACACTCCAGACCCTGGTGCCTCAGGGTGAACTCGGTGGGCCTGCCAAATGAGTGGGGTGCAGCTGGTGGCCTCTGCTGGTGCTCCAAACCCACCCCTTGGTACCTGCGGCTCTCTTCTGAACTTGGCCTTGGTGGGCAGAGAGGCAGAAATGAGGATAAAGTCCAGATGCAAGAACGCAAAATGGGTGGAGAGGAGAGCACCAACGCCATGGCTGGGCTGGTGTCCTTCCACCAAGGGGGGCCAGGTCAGGCCCTCTGGGACCCAGAAAGCTGTATGAGGGAGGAAGGTGGCCTCCTGTATGGGCAGTCTGCTGCAGGGGACCTGCCTAGTGCAGCATGGACAGCATTATCTCCCACAGTGATATAGCGCTGTGGCCACCCCCATTCTCAAGACATGGGAACCTGTGACATCTACACATCACCAGGGTCAGCTCTTTAGAAGCTTTGGGCTGGGGCCTGGGAACTGGACAGGGCAACACTCCCACCTGGGGCCTGGTGGGTCATCAAACCAGGACCTGCTCTGGGCAGTCAATGACAAGCCTGCCCTGGGGCACTCAAGTGGAGAGATGGACGCCTTCTCCCGGACCCCCTGGCCTCTTCCACCCACTCACCAGCGCCTGGGCGGGAAGACAGGCACCCACCAGACCAGCAGCCAGAGTCTGGGACCTGACCCCCCACGGTCCTGATGCGGGGTGGTTGGCTTGGTCGGGGCCCCTGCATCAGCTGTCCTGCCGGCCCATCCCTGCCTGCGCGCTGGGTCCCAGGAGGCCCCCAGGAGGCCGGGTGGAGGCCTCGTGGGCGCGAGACCTCACTCCCGCGATCAAGTCTCTTTCCTGTCCCATTAACGGCTCACAGAACGCCTCGGTTCCAAAGTCACTGAGCCCAAGCCGTCATGTGGACGCCCAGTGGACCCTGCCCCATTGCACAGACCTGGCAAAGGCGCCGGCTCTTCGGAGCCTGGCGAGGCCGCGCGATAACAGAACGGGGACACCCAGCGGTGCGCGCTAGGCCCCGGGGACGTGGGACGAGAGGTTGTGGCGTGCGCTAGAGGGCGAAATGCCAGGCGGCAGGGCGCATTAGGACGCGGGGTCGCGGGGAGGACCGGGGCATGCGCTCGGGAC